ATACATGTTAATTCTTTTTTATTTACCATGCACATGTATTGCTTCAACTATATATATATATATGCATATTGTTGAACACTACTTCTAGAAATCTGGAATCAGTAGGTCTAGGGGCACAGGAATTTGTATTTTTTTTTGCCAATCAGTTTGAGCTTTATGAGGTTGCTCAGGTTAGCCTTGAACTGATGACCTCGCCTTCGCGAGCGCCATGACCTCCGGCGGGAGCCACTTTGTACCCCCAGGAATTTGTATTTTTAAAAAGCTTTCCAAGTGGTTCTGACAAAGTTAATCTTGTGCCCTTACTTTCAGAAGCACAGATACAGAGGTAGCAGCCAGTAAAAGAGCAGTAACATCTATCTGCTCAAGTGGAGAAGTGCCAGGGTCTAAGGAATTCTAGGATTGGCTGAGCATGGTGGCTCAGAACTGTAATCTCGGCATTTTGGGAGGCTGAGGCAGGAGCCTTGCTTCAGGCCGGGAGTTTGAGAACAGCCTAGACAACAAAGTGACCCCTTGTCTCTATAGAAATTTCAAAGAAATTATCCAGGCATGGTGGTACAAGCATGTGGTCCCAGCTACTTGGGAGGCTGAGGCAGGAGGATGGCTTGAGCCCAGGAGCTGGAGGCTGCAGTGAGCAATGATTGTGCCTGGGTGACAGAGTGAGACTTTGTCAAGAAGAAGATGATGAAAAGCAAGAAGAAAGAAGAGAGAAGAAACAAGAAGAAGAAAAAAGAAAAGAAGAAGAGGAAGATGAAGAATGCTAAAATGCTCGCATGTTTTTCTCTCAGGATACTTTCTTGTGATTTTTATTAATAAGATGGATAAATACTAAAAGAGGCAAATAAAAATGAACAGGCTGTGAGTTACTTCATAATTCAACCCCTGCTTACAGAAGCACTTCATGAAGGTTAGCTCTCTTCTCTCTTGTATATATTGCAAACCACAAGCTTTGATTCAAAAACTAGCCTGGGGAAAAGCACAAAACATCATGTAAAGACAGAAGCTTTTAACTGAAGGATGTTAGATAAATAAATATTTTTCAGACTCTGTGGTTTCTGTGTAAGCCACGTTACATCAAACTTCATTTTAAAAATACTTTAAAGAATTTAATCAGGGTCTCTGGTGTTTACAAACGATTGCTGGGATGTGTAGAATACTTAATAATCAGAATTCAGAGGGTTTCTGGGCACTATGGTAATTCTTTCTAAGAAACCTTCTGGAACATCATAGGACCATTGGGATTAGTTCAAATAGTTATCAAAAAGCAGCCAAAGGCACACCGCCCTCATTTTCCTCTGTTCTCCATCCCTTCCCAGGAGTCAGTGCTGACTAAGAAAGAAATCATTCCCAACTCTACCCTTGTTTCTCTTGTACAGGGCCCTGGGTCAAATTTTTTGATACAGTGGATTTTCCTTTGTGCCTATACAAACTACTGACATCTCTTTGCCTAAATGAGAGATCACCTAGAGCTGGAGAAGTTGATTAAAATATTTTCATGTTTATTTCAATGTCAAAAGAGACTGCTTACCTTTTAAATACCAATGACTTATCCTTTATATCTGTAGTATCTATTATTTAATTTTGGAGGTTCACTGGATATATAAAGTCATAGTAAAAAAGAATATTAATTTTGTCTTTTCCATGTACTTGTCTTTTAAATTTGATCCAGAAACTGAAAAACTGGTTTGTTTGTGCTTCAGTGGTCAGCTACATTGTCCAATTAGCATTGACTAGGCTATACTGTAAAAGAGGAATTCGGCCTATTCAAATTTCATTTCTTCATTTATAAGAGCATCCATCCACCCATCTATCCGTCTATCCACCCATTCATCCATCCATCCATCCATCCATCCATCCATCCATCCATCCATCCCTCCATCCGAGAAGTATTTATGAGAACCTCCTATTTGCCCAGCACTTTTTTAGGTTCCAGGAACATATAAGTAAACAAAATATTAGCCATAGAGTAAACCTCTATGCCAAATGGGCTAAAAATTAGTTGAAAATTTCTATGAGAATAGTTTTAATTACAGGTATATGTGTATTTCTGATATTTCGGCTTTTTAAATTTGAGGATATGTGACTCTATACTGTTCTCTGATGTTTGCTACAAGTCTAAGTAGTTCATCTTTACCATTTATGATTATCATTTTTCTCTATACTTCACCATGAATCCACACTACAGCTGAAACATTAATGTACACGGTGACAGCATAGCCCCTTTTCTAGGCGTTTCTCACTACTGTGCCTCTCTGCATGTACTGTTTCCTCTTCCCTTGATCTTTCTCTCTTGTCTACCTAGCAGATACCTATTCATCATTCAAAACTCTTTCAGACATCATCTTCTCTTTGAAGTCTTCCCTAAGCATCTCCCAGCAGAACTGATCCCCCTTCCTCTGTATTACTGTGTACTTACGTACATATTTTTATTATTGCATTGATATAAATATTCATTAACATGTCACTGGAAAACTTCTTGAATATAGAAACATTTGTCTCATTTTTACATCCCTAGTAATTTGGAATTTGCTAGTAATTAGCATAATGTCTGGCACATTCACTAAATATTTGCTGAATTGGACTGAAGAGCCATTCCCTCTATTATAACATGTGGGATGTCACAAAAATGTGTTTTTAAATGTGATTTTAAATTATCTCACAATTACAGGTAAACATTTTAAATTTTTTGAATATTTAACAAGGCTTACTTTTTGTTTTATAAACTCTTATCCAGTGAGAGACATTATCATCCCCATGAGAGCCTAATAAAATTATGCACTTAGCAATATACTTTAAAAAATTTCTGTTGCTTAGCCAGGTGTGATGATGCTTAGCCTGGAGTCCCAGCTACTCGGGAGGCTGAGGCAGGGGGATGGCGTGAGCCCAGGAGTTTGAGTTCAGCCTGGGCAATATACCATGACCCCATCTCTTGAGAAAAAAAACAAACAAAAAAACTTCTGTTTCTCAATCCTTCTGCTCTTATGACTTTGTGCCAGTATTGTGGTGACTATGGGCCCATTATATTTTGTTACAATTACTTGTTTACGGGCCGTGGTCTCTCCTAGATTTGAACGCCTTGAGAAACAGGACTGTGTTCTTCCTATTTTTATAGCCCTGTTGCACTGCAATGACTATGAGAGGGAGGTGCTTAGCAAGTTAAATGCACCGAGGACTAAAAATGCATGATGGTGAACAGAATCAAATCTTTGGTTCTTTTCTCTCCCCAGGACCTGCTTTGTGATTATCTTAAATGAAGACAGTCTGCTAAATTCTAAATAAAGCTTTGACTTCGTTGTTGAATAAAGCTAACTGAGACTGTGTGGGTGTGGCAAACTAGCAAAATGAGTAAAAAAGAAAGAAGATTTTCTATGCAAATATTTGTATTTTGTCTTTTAAGTTTACACTGAATTAAGTCTCTCCCAGTTTTAAAACATAAAATAGTGGAAAGAAAAATAACTACATGCTTATTATAAAAGAAATAGTTTTGTGAAATATTTCACTGAAGTTCAAAAGCACTGGGGAGTCTTTCCCCTAAGATGATATTAGTCCCATAATTTTCTTTTATCCTAACTGCAGGCAATAGGGTAATTTTTGTTGAAACATTTGATGTTTATAGGGTTTTGGCAACATGAAGATGTGGGTGCTTAGTAAAATATCACCAAATGAATGGCAGCGTGGACACCCTCTAACTCACTGTAGGAGAAAATTACGTACACGTGACTTTTATAATGGTAGTGTTCAGAAACATGGTGAGTTAGTTTTGAAGCTTCGTCTCAACTTTTAAGGAGATATGACATCTATTATATACATTATTACTCGCAAGTGAGTGGCAGACACAAATATGAGGATACCTTAAAAAGTTATTTATACAGAAACTCCATGGTAAATGGCAATATAGCATTGGTGATATTTAAAATGAAAAATGTCAGATGAACACCTCAATTCTGTGTTGTTTCTCTATACACAAACCACTTTAAAACCTATGGAAGAATAATTCGTATGTGCTTTGGTCATAAAAATGGCAGAACTCTTTCTCCAAAGTAATTCTCTAATTTTTGTATATACTAGAACACATTTTCAGAAAGTCTATATCATAAACTAAATCAATGCAAAAAACGTGACAATGGTGATAGAGTATATTCCTTTAGAGATGTGTTAACGGCACTTTATAATATATTCTAAGGCATTTAAAAATTACACGATGAAAACCTTGAATCAGCACTTAAAATACATAAGGTCCAATTTAATTTCTTCATTGTTTTCTAGATAAGGAAATTAATATTTATAAGTTATGGGACTTATCCAAGATTATGGGCCAGGCAAGAAAATTTAAAATCAGACTGTGAACCAAACCTCGTTCATTACTTTTTCATTTACTCTGTATAATTTTCATATTTTATACATTCCTGCCCTTAGCAATTTGCCTCTGTATTTCCACATGAAATAAATTTCAATTATAATTTGAGTAGACATCTGAGTAATTATATATGAAAAATAATTTTTAAGGACTAGAAAATACCCATATAGTAAAACATTGTATGGGGACCTATACCAACTTACACCAGTTTAAAATTTTTTCTATAAGATGAGCATGTATATTTCAATAACTAACCTGGATGATTTAACATGAGAACATTAAAAGATTAACACAGATTTAAAAATATTGTGGCTGAATATAAGTTAGAAAAGTGTGAAATGTTAATTACACTCCTAAGAACAAACTCTAGATATAAATTAGACAAGTGTCAATCTCAAGAGTCCATTGAAGCCAGCAAACAGAAGGGGCAGTCTAAAAATATAAGGCAAAAATTATATTCAAAATTGTTTCCAAATTAACTCAACTTGATATTTTTTAACTTAGGGAAACATAATTTATACTTTATGCTTTTCGTAAACTGAAGTGACCTTTGTCTTTTGAATAAAAACACAAAAGAAGCTCCTTATATTTGCCTTTAGAAAAAAAAAATTTGCAAAACAATTTTCGAAAGCATCAAGGACCTTACCTGTTTCCATTTTTCCATCTTGTGCTGCAGGCCCATCTGGAATCACACTTTTCACCTGCAGAAACTCGTCAGGCTCGTCTCCACCAATGATGGTAAATCCAAAACCCATGTTGCTCTTTTTTAGGGTGGTGCTGAGGAATGTTCCCTTCAACTGGGATGCATCCCGGGTGAAGAGTGGTTTTTCTACATTGGCCAATATAAGTTAAAAAAGAAAAAGGCATGTTCAAGGTAAGTTCTCAGACAAGAGAAAGCCAGCCCCCGAGCAGCAACAATCCCCGGGGTGAATGTGGGGGTCTTAGCAAATGCAAGCAGGTGGTGACTACAAGAGGAGCAAAACTATTAGAACTTCCTACAGGTAAAGAGCAGTCCCAAGCATCCAGGGAAAGATGAAAAAGCTGTTTGGTTTGGAGACAGACTTTTTGTCAAATCAGTTTCCATTCATTAATTTGGCCTTCTTGGGCTTAAAAAAGGCTGTGTCAACAGACGGCCAGAGCCTTCAGAGAAAGAGGAACAAGGAGCTCAAATCATCCAGACACATCTGGATCTGTTCCTCTTGTTATGAAAGATTCCAGGTAGGAGGTATGTGTCAGTGGCCAGTCCTAAACTAAGCCTTGAAGAAATAAGAGTAAAAAAATGAAATGGACTTGTGATTTTTTTAAGTGAATGAGAGCACAACATTTCAGCATATACAGTATAGCAAACAGATAAGCAGTGGAATGTGATCACATACTCAAAGGTCCAGATTGCTTAGAAAGAGTACCTGTATGTGGGACTGACTTTTGTTTACACCCCTCTATTGTGAGATACTATGAAGATAACCAGATATATAAATTGCTATTGGCTCCCATAGTGTTTAGTATACTCTAAAATGTGAGCAAAAGGCAAGCCAATGTTTTTAGATATAATTATGAATGTAAAGGTAACACATTTTGTAACAATATGTTGATAGATTCAAATCATACAACTGCCTGAATAATCTGAATAAGCAGTCATATAGATTTACCTGCTAATTGATTATATAATATGCTTTTCCAGCTACAATCTGTAATAAATATATTCCTAAGCATAATAAGTGCTTTAAAAATAACAGTCACACTAGGAAATGGAATTAATATCTGCTTTAAATTCCTTCACAGATAAATATTTTACATGATTCTTTAAAAATGTTATATTTAGGTGATCTGATTTAATATTTGTAATAGCCAAATCATACATGGAAACTCAGTTAAGTATTCTGCATGATACCTTTTCTTGTTACATTTTGGGTGGTATGTAATCAACTCTAAAAAAATGAGTCATTCTCTTAGACTTTTACTTTTTCTGTTCACTTACATGTCACGTGTATCTTTATTAAAAACAGAGCTTCTTTAAAACATAAAAACCATAGATAATCTTTTCTTCTGTGTTTTCTTTATCAAACGAATGTTTATAATTGGAGAGAAGTTCATCAGGAGACCTTTACATTCATTTAATTATGCTGTAGTATATGGCGTGAAAATTAGCAGGCAAGACTAGACCTCCCGACTCCAAAGGCTCTTTGGTGCTTTTATTTAGCCCACTAGCTGTGAAAAGTTTGTGCAGCAACTCATCCCACTACGTGGCTCCCAGGTGTAGTCCCGCAAGCAGCCCTGGGACATACCGAACAGCCAGGGCCTCCCTGCTGGGTCGCGCTGATGGTAAGACAAGTCATCCACGCTGCGCGACCTCTCCGGGGCAGCGTGGGGGCGGATGAGTTTGGGCCTAGGTAATGTCGATGAGGAGCTGTCTACTGTCACAAAGGAGAACAAGCCTCATTCTTGTGCTTGGTCTTTTAAGGACAAACTTATGAGTCTCTATGAATCTCTGCAGTTTACAGTGCCACTATCAAAATCCCTTCATCTCTACCTGGCGGCATGCTGTACATTCCTACAAGGTACTGCCTGAGGCTTTAACTTCATCTGTGGTTGCTAAAGGCATTAGTTTAGAGAGAATTTAGCAAATCCAGCTAAAGCTAATAGAAGGGTCTGGAGAAAGCAATCAATTTTTCAAAATGGTCCAAGCTACAGACATATTTGGAAGAGCAGGCAGTTTGACAGATAATTTTCCCTTTGAAACATCACATGCTGACAGGTATCATACCTCGGAAACCTGGGGCCTGCAGGGGCTTTGTTCCAAGTTCTGTGTGGGGCATGTTATGTTGCTGTAGCTTCCTTTTTGCTTCCAGAACAGGATTTTCAAACTGTGTTCTTCTATTTATGTGGCTAAAAAAGAAAATTTCAAATTAGGACAACAGTGGGGCAAAGTCATTTTAAAGGCCATACGTATGGCTCTAGAGAGAGCAGGAGATTAAGGGTCACCTTATCTGATTACAGTCAAGTGCCTCACCCAGCACGCAGTCAGGCTCCAGACTGGGCTGGCCTGTGTACAACACACATTTCTGTGACAAGTGCTGAGTTCTCAAAGGGTCCATCATATGCTATTCTGTTTACATGATGCATGATTCAGCCAAAAGAACTAGAACGTGCACTGGCTTTCTGGTCTACTGTGTTTCTTTGAGGTGAGTTTGATGCATAAAAATAAGTGGTCAAGAAATGAAATTTTTACTGAGTGGTGAAGAAAAGAGCATCATCTGAGCTTTGCAAATTTGCCATATCCAACAGGATGAACGTGAAATAAATTCACTGATAGAGTGTAGCAACCGGAGTCTGCACTGTTTAGAGTTGGTCCTGGATTGAGAGACTGGGAACCTAGAGAAAGACTCCCAAGATGTTTGCAGAAATGACAGAAGACATATACAGGACATTTTATGCTGACATAATGTAAAGTAGAGAATTCATATTCTACATCGTGAGATGGCAAACTTGTAGGTATCAGACACAGAGTGGCTTAAAGCAGCTGTGACCCAGCTAAACTGAGAGCTTATAGCCTAAGCAAATTGTGAATTCCTGTATAGCATGCTGTTCGATTTTTAGAGTTCCTTATCTGTGGGGACAGTAGGAGCCAACATGCCTGTTTAGTAGTGGCCCTATGTTGCTCTTTCTCTAGGATATAAACATCCCATGAGAGGGCTGGCATATATATTGATTTTGGTTCTTTGGACAAACTGAAATAGAATTATGGCAGGCAAGCATGAAGAGGAGAGAAGGGATAGAGGAGAAATTGACAAATACTGAGTACTTAACTCTTGGCTAGTTACTATATTTAATTTTTCTCAGTGAGGCCTCATAACAACACAGACTTGAATTCTAATTATTTACCTCTTAAAGGCAATGAGACTGACCATACATGGAGAGATCGGATTATTTGCTCAAAATCACGTCTCGTAAGTGGGAAGGCTGGACTTGGCCGTGTTCATTTCTAAAACGAATCTCTACAGTTTTTTCTTTTTGATATATTATTTCACACTGTTAAGCACACACATACTTATTGTGTGTGTACAACCCTCATGGCCCCAACACAAACCACTTATAGCTTCAGAAAGGAAAAGAGATAGAAGCAGAAATATCTCAACAACCAATTTTCTAACACTATGAACCAGATCGTTTCAAAGCAGTGCCCAGAAACATGGTAAGCCAACTGCAATATCTAATTCTTTCCTCATGGGAGACAGGGTAAGGTAGCTACCTGCCCTACAGGCTGTGCAGTCAGTCCAGTATTCAAATTCCAGCTCTGCCACTTGACCAGCAGTACAACCATGGGTGAGTTTTAGTGACAATCTGTAATACCAGCATAATGCCTCCTTCCTGGGGTGGTTGTGAGCAGTAAGTGAAATAATGAATATTAACACATGGCTTTGAGGAGACAAGCTCAATACCAGCTTGTATCACCATCATCATCTGAATCATCACCATCCCTGTCATCATTTTTCGTCCATAAGAAAGGCCTTACTGGGGGATCTTTAGAAGCACTAGGTCCTTATTCTAACTGCCTCTGGTGCTCTTTAGGAAGGGAGTGCTTATCACAATGCTCTTTGTTAATGAAACTCATTTGTAAAAGGTTCAAAGTACAACCATCTATGTAACATTATTTTCACTGGAAGTAAAATGCTGTTGTAATGCTCTCGTGCACCAAGGTCTTGTGCATCATGACTGTGGTGCACAGTGAACTAATAATATCTGTGCCTGTAAAGCATGTGAGCTTCCAGAGCTCTAACACTGCCATCCTGTTTTGGAAGGACCAGCGTTTGATGCCTGTTTTCCCATTTCTCCATTATTACGTAATTTCCTTACCAAAATCCTCTGAAACCTTCCCATTACCTAAACATATACTGTTCCTGATCTTGCCCTCACTCGTTTCTGTAGCTTGGCCTCTGGCTGCATCACTACATGTGCCCTCTACTTTGAACATACTTGGAGCTACTCCGATCAGTGACTCTCTATCAAACCTCTTATCTGTCCACAAGAGATTCAGTATATAAATGGTGCAGCACTTAAAGCAAGACAACCGGAGTCTCAGGTGGCATCTTGGGCAAATTTCTAACTCTCTAAACTTCAATATCTTTATCTGTGAGATGGGGACATTAATAGCTACATCATGGGTTGCTGTGAGGATAAGAAAAATGTTTATAAGGTTTGTATTTCCCTTAAATACCCAGGAAGAACCCAACAATGAAGGCATGGTTGTAATTTTTTAGAGGTCTAGTTATTCCTTATTACTGTTATTGAAGTGTTGCGTGGTCATCGCCGTTATTCTGATGATGCTTTTCCTATCCTCCTATGTCTCCTTCCCTAACCCCTCCCAGCCTCATTTTCTGCCTGTGTCATGCCCTTCCCCCTTGGATTCTCAGAAAACTTTGAACAGACTCTCTCACTGCAGTTTGTTCACTTAAAAAAAAATCCATCAACTCCAGCATTTATCCTATGAGTAACAAGTAATCCAGTTACATTCTTTAAGCTATTAAAAAATACAAAATTAAGTAATTATTGACTATAGTCACTATTCACTTATTTATTTATTTATTTTTTTGAGACGGAGTTTCACTCTTGTTACCCAGGTTGGAGTGCAATGGTGCGATCTCGGCTCACTGCAACCTCCGCCTCCTGGGTTCAGGCAATTCTCCTGCTTCAGCCTCCTGAGTAGCTGGGATTACAGGCACACACCACCATGCCCAGCTAATTTTTTATATTTTTAGTAGAGACGGGGTTTCACCATGTTGACCAGGATGGTCTCGATCTCTTAACCTCATGATCCACCCACCTCGGCCTCCCAGAGTGCTGGGATTATAGGCGTGAGTCATTATTTTCTTATATACCACTTCATCATTAAGAGGATTCAAGGACAACAACAACAAAAGTAAACAAAATTAGGGTGAAGTTAGTTGAATCTAGGTTGGAGATCAATAGACAGAATTGATAAAATAGGTTCCTATTTGTTTACTTGAGTTTTATTGCAAATTAGCTTTCAGCTTTTAAGTTGCTAATTCTACCAGTTATGCTATTCAGAGTATTTAAGATGCACTCAAGCCAGTTGTTTAGAAGGACATAGTATTCCTGTTAGTAGGTCTTATGTGACATTCCTTTCCCAATTTTGAATAAAGAGATTTCTGTGACATAGTATACAGCATCCTAAATGATAATTTTACAGTAATAAATTCCACGGGCTATACTAACTTTATTACAATGTATTTTAATGATTAATTTTCATGCTGATTTCCTTCCCTAGACTGTGTACTCCTATATACAGGATACACGTGTTATTTATCTTTGTGTAGTGAGCATCTAACACAATGAATGAAAAATACTTTTTTTTTGTTAAATTACTAAATGATGAATGTGTTTTAAAACATTTATTTTCGGGCCCGCGGGTGGCTCACACCTGTAATCCCAGCACTTCGGGAGGCCGAGGCCGGTGGATCACGAGCTCAAGAGATCGAGACCATCCTGGTCAACATGGTGAAACCCCGTCTCTACTAAAAATACAAAAAATTAGCTGGGCATGGTGGCGCGTGCCTGTAATCCCAGCTACTCAGGAGGCTGAAGCAGGAGAATTGCCTGAACCCAGGAGGCGGAGGTTGCGGCGAGCCGAGATCGTGCCATTGCACTCCAGCCTGGGTAACAAGAGCGAAACTCCATCTCAAAAACAAAACAAAACATTTATTTTCAAACATGTATGTCAGTAACTTTAAGAAACCGAGAAACAGCTTTGAAATGTTATAGGATATCAACTTTTCTTGTTTCCTATCTGCTCTATATCCGTTTTTGCATAACTTTATCCTTAGAAAATACATTGCAAAACTTTCTGGGATGCAGTTATGCATACAATAGAGTTCCTCCAACTTGCCACCTGCATGTAATTATTTTCTTAGAAAAGTTAATGTGTAGCCACCTGCTTTATGGTCACATGAGTTTCCAGAGTTCACAGAGAATGAAAATACCAGTGAATGAGTTTGGCAGGCCTTGGGCCACACAGGCAGCAGAAGCAGGATATGGCTGTAGCACCATAAACTAATTGATGCAGAACATTTACATTGTCACAAATGAAGTCATTCATTTGAAACTTACAATGCTCACAAGCTCTAAAAGACTTATCACAAAGAAATGTGATTGTAGCTGAATAGACACTTGTCTTCCTTATGCTTCCAAAAAGAATAGTTTCAAGTTGTTTCAGCAAGGCTTTGGGGTCTTACAATGTGCACAAAAAGATGTGAATGACAAATGCCATCCTTCTCATTGTTTAGGCTCTGTGAGATAAGTCCTAGCTATTTCATCTAACTTCCACACAGAAGAAGAAGCTGGGAAGCTACCAAGAGTTCTTGCTATTTAATTATATCTAGTCCATTGTCATATTTAGCTGAGAATCTTTAGCTTTTAAAAGCTAAGAGAGTAAGAGTCATATTCTGAAGTGGGTATATCTTAACGACTCCATTTTCTCTTCACAGAAGGGGAAGACTGCTGATGAGAGATGCTTCCAAATTAAAATGGTAAAGGGCTCAGGATATTCAAGGATGAAATTCCATTGCCTGATCTCTTTGTCCTTACATTCACTTATCTGCAGTCTGACTCTCCTCTCACCACAGAATAGAAACTTCAGAGTAAGTTCCTATGTGGCAGTGCTTTGAAATTCCAGATGCACTGGAGAGCTTCAAAAACAAACATACCAGCAAACAGAAAACAGAAGACTCAGGCCCACCCTAAATCAACTGATTCATAATTTCAGAATGAGATACACAGGCATTGGCATTTTTTAAATAGAAAGCTTCCCAGGTGTCCCTAGTGTGCAGCTAGGGCTGCGAACCCCTGAGTTAGAAGCTGAGACTGTGTGAAGAGGTGTTGCATAAGGAGTATCTAGCCTAATAAGATTTATGCAGAAGTCTTTTTTTGTGTATATGACCTCAGGGAGGATTAGGAAATGCAACTTTGCTCCTGAAGAGGACTTCTGCCATCAGAAGTTTCAGACAAGCACTGAGTGAAGGAAATATTTGAAGCTGATTAGAGGATATGCTGCCAAAGGTAGTCCCTGGTCAGGGTCCTGTTGCCTGCCATTTTCTTCATTGTGGAGATGGAATGAAGGAATCAAGAGCAAAGTCATACATACCGAGACTATCAGTATGCAGAGGGCAGATTTGCTGAAGGTTATCAAAGCCATCACCCAACCCTCACCATCCATGCTCTCTGTATATCTCAGTCTGTTCACAACCCACCTTGCTTCTGGAGTTTTTGGAGAGAGGCTCTTTTAGTGTATAGTTGTGAATGACACCTTTGCACCCACAGGTTACTATCCCATTATCTTCAGTTGAAATTTAGAAATAATCAACATGGAAGAGAGAAGGGAGCAGCTTTCAAGTGGAGACGGTATCAACATATAAAATGTTTCCTAGGTAGCCAAGGTGAGTGTGCTAATTACCCAAAGCATGAGGCAGATAGTGCTCCAATAAATATTTACTGAATAAATACATGGATGGAGCAAGGCAGGCATGAAAGAGGATACATCTCACCGTTTTTCTAGCTTCACTCTCCTGTAAAATACACATTGTGGACAAGGCATGGTGGCTCATTCCTATAACCTAAGCACTTTGGGAGGCCAAGGTGGGTGGGTCACCTGAGCATAGGAGTTTGAGACCAGCCTGGGCAACAGGGTGAAATCCCATCTCTCCTAAAAATATAAAAATTAGCCAGATGTGGTGGCACAAGTGCCTGTAGTCTCAGCTACTTGGGAGGCTGAGGTGGAAGGATTGCTTGAGCCGGGGAGGCAGAGGTTGCAGCGAACTGAGATTGTCCCACTGCACTCCAGCCTGGGTGACAGAGCCAGACCCTCTTACACACACACACACACAGTGGACAATCAAAACTTGGTGTGAAATTTAGGGCTGGCTTATCTGATACAGTAATTTTTACATTTGGGTAAATTATGGAATCCTTCAAAACAGAGAATCTTTCAACATATTCTAATGATAGGAGAAAATGTCATCCCACTTTGGCGATAAAGGATTTAAATCTAATGAGCTGATAACTGGCAGCTGCTATCTTAGGTCACAATAAAAAAAGTGTGAATAAGGAAAAGCACTATATTAGGGATGAAATGTGGGAGCATCAGAGAAGCAGCCCCTCAGCACTGGGAGTGGGAGTGGGAGTGGGTGTGGGAGGACTAGCTTGGAGCTTGGCGTTGTGGCTCAGGATGACCGCAATGCAAACTGGCTTATTGTGGGGCTTCCTGAATGAATTTAGTGTGGATTTCATGGTTGCTTGGACTCCTGGGGCTTTCTCTGACCCTGATTCCAATTCCCTATCTCTGCATTGTTACCACCTCCCATCTGAACCCTAGACTATAGCTGAACTGTCAGGCAAACACAGACATCACACCCTCCCTGACTCTATTTTATTTTAATATGAGCCTTGGGAAGACTTCATGTTTCCTCTACTGTCATGTCTGAATATATGGAATAAAAACAACTGCATTCTTTGAAAACTAAGGGAAGATAATAACAGGATCTTATGAAGCCAACCCTCTTCAAAGAAGACAGGACGGGATGATTACGAGCTTAGTCTCTGTGCTCATGATGCTCACACGCAAGGGCACGCACATCCTAGGTGTGTAACCTTGAGCTCATCATTTACTCTTTTTGTGCTTCAGAATTTTTCACCTGTAAAGTCAGATAAAAACAATATTCACCTCATAGATTTGTTGTGCATAGTAAATGAGTTAAAATGAGTAAACTACTTAAGAACAGTGCCTGGATGTAAGTACTTAATCAGTGCTAACTATCCTCACTCAGCAAATCCTTACTAACAAAATTTTCTTGACTAGACACTATGGTAGGGGAGGGACAAAGATTAATCAGGCACATAGTCCAGCAGAGGGGAGAAAACAGGGACAAAAAAGAATTATAATGCAAAACAAGGTTACATAATACAATGTATGCCTTACAGGGCTTTGAAATGCTGAAATTTAGAAGTACTAGATTAAAGCCTAATGTTTTAAATATAAGTTATTATAAAATATTAGCTTTGAATAAATGGAAAAATTGAATCTATTTTACTTGGAGCATTTTTTAAAAAACAGAATTGAATCCTGCCTCTTGAAAGATTTCTTCCCAATTCTAACACGTAAGTGATAATTTTCCTTCTATAAATGTCCATTCATTCTTCCCTACTGAACCTGGGGGAATGTCAGTTTGCTTTGTGAATGTGAGTGGGAAGACTGAATCATTCATATGCTAATTTCTCCTGCTCTTCCTGGACATGAAGGTGTCTACATGGGGGATATAATATCCAGGTGGGAGGTAGAATCATGGCCAACTGAGAAAAATATCCACATATTGACACCGAAACTCTTACACCTGAGTCTATCCTCCACTCCACACTAGCTTCTCAATATGCATATATTCACATAAATGAACTCTCTTCCCTCCCTCAGTAGTAATGCTAAGTTATCTATTTAAGACATTAACCTGTAATATGTATTTTATATATAAGGGAAGATTCATCACTAAGCCACTACTCTTCACTAATTGCATGGAAAACTTCAAACTAACTCCTAGCAGACATGGCCGTGTGCACTGTCAATCATGTCATGAAGCACCCAGGACTTACAAGGTACATAGATTCGATTTCAAAAAATTTTGAGCCAGCAGGCATTCATTAAAAATGTTGTTTTCTATCGATCCCTTGTCACTCCCATAAAGCATCTCTCTAAAATGTTATTGCCGAGTGTGGGAGGAGATCATTGTTATCAAAGGTATTTCTAACCTTTTGCTTCTAGACTGAGTGAAAGTAGTGAATTATGAGCTCATAGAATAGGATTTATCTAAAGGAAAACTAAAAGATGACACAATTTCAAGATCTTTCTGTATGAGAGACAAGACTAATAGTCCTCTTCTACCAGTGCCTGACAACCTAAGTGGTTTAAGTCCTTTACGTCTCATTTATAATTTCATTGATAAGTCAGTATTCTGGGAACTAAAGACACAAAGGTCAACATGACACAATCCATTCCCCCAGGAGGCTCATCCTCCAGTGGGCGAGACACACATGTTAGGTGACCAACCATTTCAGTTTGCCTGGGACTAAGGAGTTTCCTGAGATGTGGGGCTTTCAGTTTTCAAATAGGAATAGTCCTGCATAAATTAAGATGAGTTAGTCATTCTAGAATTGGCCAGGAAAATATAACACAAGACAAAAAGTGCTGAAATTTGTAAGCAGGAAGTAAATAGAAGGAGAAAAGACAACTTAGTCTGATGGTTCAGGGAAAGCTTCACAAAGGAAGACACATGTAAACAGACTGTAGAAGGATGAATGTATTTTGCTGAATGGAGAAGGGGACATTTTAGGAAGAGAGTAGTAGATATAGAGGTGTTTAATAATATTCAGTTCTGCCTACCTAGAGTACAGGGTTAGTGTACACAGACATGAATGTGATTGTGTATGGGTGGCAGTGTGGGAGCAAGAGGCGTAGGGGAGAGGATGGAAGCTACAAGACTGGAAGGACAGTTCGGAGTCATGGTATGAAGTTTCGTTTTGTCTGAAGATCTCCCGACTTCCACTGTGACCTTAGTTTAATGGAACTGCAGCTTTTAAAGTCTCCATTCTAACTTGGGAACATCATGAGCTTCACCACACATCAACCAAGTAGGAAAGCTGTGGGGCTCCCTAGAATTCCCAACCATTTCGGCATCATTTCCTGGCTCCTCCAGTGTCCTAGGTACTGGGTATTTTTTTCACCCGGGGTATGCAGACAAATGTGAAAAAGTCATCCAGGGAAATAGCCTTTTTTGTATATAGGGAAGGGTGAGATCAGTCTGACTTGTAATATACTCTATGTGAAACTGGATTGTTATTTCTTAATAAATTATGAGTTGTTAAAATATGCAATCACTGTGTAACTTAAATCAACTGAACTCCAAACAATGCATTCATACATAATGATAGACATACACAGTCATGGCTACAGGAATCCTTTGAGTGTGACTCTAAGGAAAGTCAGAGAATTACCAAGGACACTCAGAATACTGGGCAATCACAAAGGCAACATCACTGATGTCTGGGATTATCCAGGGAGAAGGCAGTCAGGAGAAGAATGCTAGTGAGGGGAAATTGACAAGACTGGGGACAAGGCTGTGGCAGATTCTGAAAGTCACCAGGTCAGAAAGTCATCAAGTGATGAAAATAACTCCAATTCCACGTAGTACCAAGATTCCAGGTTTCCAAGACCAATATTGAGAGATGAGAAAAATATTAAAAAATATTATTCTTGACTACTGAGTCTTTATGACTACATAGACCAGGAGGAAATCAAATACACAGCTATTCCTTTTATATGCTAGAATGTGATGCAAGAGGGATTAGAAAACACAACAAAGTTAAGAAAAAATATTTTTTGATGTGTTCTAGGGAAAAAAGGATATACTGCTGGATACCTAGAATCTGCATAGAATCTTTCAATACCTTGCCACTAAATTTGAACCTAGAATCTGCATAGAATCTTTCAATACCTTGCCACTAAATTTGACTGTGAGGTCTAGGATTAAGCAGGAAACTACAATTCTGTTAGGTAAGGACCCTGGGAAGATAGAGGCATGAAGAAAAAGTAGTGGGAATAGAGGATAAAAGTTCAGCAGCACCAAGAACAAAAAAGGTGGCAATAAGTTGCTTCAGTGTTGTTTTTAATAGATGAGCTTATTGGGCACAGGTATTGTGGCAGAGTTTTATATAATTCACACACTATGTCTAAAATTATGCCATTACTAGAAGATCAAAGCTTCACACAGATGAGATGATATTTTCATCTAACTGTAATGGGGGATGTATTTTCAAATAACTTGTTTGTTCTTTTCCACAATACAGATTTATGTCCCCACAGTGGGCTGAGTTTGTGTTTTTCATTTTGAAGCTCTTAATAAAGAACAGGAGAGGTGTGATGTTGAATATTTCTGAAGCAATTTCCATTTGTGCATTTTTAAAGTTAATTCCAATTCAAATTTAAATTCTGTTTAATAGATGCCACAGTTTGTTGAAATAAACAGTTGTATGAAGCATGAATGTCTGCCATTTTTTTAAAAAAAAAAAGAAAAAGAAAAAGGAGAGACTAAAGGGAAGATAGTGGATGGCAGAGTGGGATGGGAGCTAATATTCACCTGGTAAATACTATATGCTCAGTATAGGTATTTATACCCTCAGTGAAATAGGATGCATGCTTTTAATTCACTTGGTCTTCAGAGAGGGTAAACCATTTTCTGCAGATCTCACAATAAGCGGCAGATGCATGAAAAAAGCCTAGCTCTGCGTAGTGCCAACATCCAAGAACATTGAGTTATGTGATTCTGCTACGAACATACACTTAGCTTTTATAGTGAAATTACTTATGTATGTATAGACATGGGCTAAGTCTGGTAATCTGCAATACACTTCAGCCAGGTGATTCTCAATTTTTTTTTATCAATTTCCATTATGAAATTGGAAACTTTAAAACACTGTAAATTACCTGCTGATTTTCTGTAGACAAAAATAGGAAAATATGTAAAGATTAACTCAGTGATCATGTGCATAGTGACTGAACATGTTTTTCCAAAAATATGTATGTATATGTGTTTTACATATTGGAAAAAGTGAGAAATGGAATGGTAATGAGAGCATGAATGAGGAGTCAGGAGATGGGCATGTGTAACATTGCTTTCAAACCAGAAGGATCTGTTCCAAGGGCTGTCTTTCAGCTTCCCTTAGGGCTAGTCCTAACATCAATTTCTTGAACTCTTTGCCCTTACTGACGCTGGAAGTCACGTGTGGGTCATGTCTCTGGCAATTATGCTAATGATAATAAGGTGATTCTGTGCTAGTATTTATGAATAAGATTACAGTTCTATGTGAGGGAGAATGGAGGCAGTCAACAATAATAAAACTATGTATGTCTCATCTCAAACTTATAAAAGAATGCAGTGTGTTGTAGGCCAGGTTCAGTTCTTCTGAGGTTCAGTCATCTAAGAAAAAATGAAGGGACCTGTTAAAAGATACAGACTTACAGCTAGATGGGAGGAGCAATATACCTCCTGTTGTTCTATACCACTGTGGGATGACTCTAATTTACAATAATATGTAGTCTCAAACAGCTGGACGGAAGATATTGAATGTTCCCAATAGAAAGAAATTATACATGCTTGAGATGATGGATATGCTAATTACCATCATCTGATCACTATATATTATAAATATCAAAACATCACTATTCTACTCCATGAATATGTATACTTATTATTTGTCAATTGAAAGATTTTATAAAAGGACATGGAAACATGTCACTTAGCAAGTATCTTTTTTATGTAACCGAGTGGAAACTTGAGTACTGGTGGGAATTCTTCCCAAATACCCATATAAGAGTCACCCATAAGGGGTGTACTTCTCACCCCACCTGTGTTACATTCACCACCAAACCGTGAACACCAACAAAGGCAAGGGGGTGCCACCTGACTCTGGTATCCTCAGAATCACTGGGATTCACCAAAGTGAACGCCATTTTCAAAGCCACTTCCAATGAGTCTGAGTGGTCCTTCTCTCCCACCTTTCAGACCAAACCAACATTTTGGGTTTAAGCTACAATTGAAGATTTGGTAAGCCACTCACACTATCTTTGAGAAATTCCCCTAATGTTTCTGGACTGCAACTGCCTCATCTGTAAATATTCTACTCATTTCATAGGACTGTTTTGAGGAGCAAATAAGATAAAATATATGAAAATGTTTAAAGATGAAGCACTGTATAAATTTAAGTTGATTTTGACATTCTTGGAATATAAGGATTTGAGAGTCAAGTGCAACTTAAATATGGACAGTGTGAAGTCTCTTAATTCCTGTCCTGGGCTGCAACAATATTTTTATCACTTACTAGCTTGATGGCCTGGCTTCTTTAGGTTTCATTTTCTCTTTTTGTAAAATAGCAGTAATAGTATCTGCCAGTAAGCATTGTGGTGGTAATTAAATGAGTTTTACAAAATGCCTAATACATACCAAGTGCTTAATAATGGTAGCTATTAGCTACCATTATTAATATATTTTGTTCTCTGGGTTGATTAATAATTACTAAAGAAGAACCCCTTGGGGATAAAATTTACATATGAGGTCAATGGCACAAAATAAATACTAAGCAACACTAGTGAAAAAGAAAGATAACCATCCGTGTCATTTTATTTATCTGAAAAAATACATTATTTTGATGCCCAATTAAAACTGGAGAAAGTGAAGTAAGAATAATAGAAAGCAGGGGACCTGTCAAGCTCCATAGGTGAGTGTTGTGCACAGTGGAAAGCTAAATTAAGATCTTTACATTACAACAGACTCAAGTTCTTTCAGAGATTTGTTACCTTAGGATAAGTTTGAGACTCAACTTAGTACAACTAATTTTATTATCAAAACAAATAGGCTATTTTTTTCTTTTGCCTTTAGTAGATCCAGTTAACCTTATCAGACTCAGAATAGAATTTCCTTTGTTTAAAATTTGTAGTTTGGTGTACTTAACTGTATTAAACTTAAATGTGAAATGTGATCATAAAATTTTTATGATTCATCCATTTTTATTATACAATTAACTGAGTCTATGTAATATAATCTCATCCGATTAAATATGAAATCATCTGATAAACACTAGTAATAATGATTAATGACATCACACTTTATTGTTAAAAAAAAGAAAAAGTTTTCCTTTCAAATGTATTCAGCTTTGACAGTAGTAAAGATATATCTCTGGGCTGGGCGTGGTGGCTGATCCTAGGAAGTCGAGGCTGCAGTGAGCAGTGATTGTACCACTACACACCAGTCTGGGTGACAGAGAGAGATATATATGTATGGAGAGAGAGAGCTCTATCTATCTATCTATCTATCTATCTATCTATCTATCTATCTATCTATCATCTATCTGTCTGTCTGTCTATTTTTTTTTCCCACCAGGTGGCTGCTGAAGACAGCAGACGGACAGGACCTGGTTTTCGCTGGCCAAGGCCATCTCTTGGGCTACCTGGCTGCCATCCTGGCCAAGTGGCTTCTGCTGGGAAGGAAGGTGGTGGTCATGCACTATGAGGGCATCAACATTTCTGACAATTTCTGCAGAAATAAGTTAAAGTACCTGGCCTTCCTCCATAAGCAGGTGAACACCAACCCTTCCCTAGACTACCCTCCTTCCTGGGCCCCTAGCTACATCTTCTGGTGGCCCTGCAAGACCAAGTGGGGCCAGGCTGCCCTGGACTGCCTTAGGGTATCTGATGGCATCCCACTGCCCTATGACAAGGTGGTTCCTACTGCCCTTAAGGTTGTGGGACTAAAGTCTACCAGAAAATTTGCCTCCTTGGGGTGCCTGGCTCATGAGGCTGGTGGGAAATACCAGGCAGTGACAGCCACCCTGGAAGGCAAGGAGGAGGCCAAGATCCAGTACAGGAAGAAACATGTGATTGCAGGAACAGGCCACAAACACCTGAAGAAGACAAGTGACAAATACACAGAGGTCCTAAGACCCAGGGACTCCTGGTTTGAGACCAGTAAAGACTGTTTATTCCTCATGCTTGGCCTGGCCTACCCTTGTGCCATTGCCACTGTGGAATATGGGGGACCCTGCCCTTCCTGCATCACTGCCCTGGGATGTGGGGGATCTAGGGGTGGCAATCTGCGGGGCACAGGCAGCCTGGGACTTAAGCTCAGGGCAAGGGAAGGGCCTTAGTCATTGCTTTTCTATAAGGTTATTTTAAACAGCTCTAAGATTTGTACAGGCATAATTTGTCTATGACCTACTCGTTCAGGAGAGTTTTAGAAAACCAATAGAACAATCAGTTACTTCAGTTTTAATATTGGCCAAAGGGACCTGGAACACTAATTGGAGGGAGCCCTGCCTTTTGTGTTAATGGGGCATCTCTTTAAACTCCCACCTTTTCATATACTTGGTGGCTGTTATAACATGAAAAAATGTTTAGGGACAGCATGAGCTTACATACATGAGCTTACATGAGCTTAAAATGCAAGGGCTATTTTAGAGAAGCACAGACTGAAAAGATGTGTGACCAACATGTGGCAGGGGCCACCCTTGCTCCTTCCCTGTATTTTGTGATCAGAATCAAATAATTACTTGGAAAGAAAAAAAATAGTTCTTATACACCTTTTTGTTTATAAACTTACCCTTTATCAAAACAGATGCCCTTTTAATGACAATCTTAATATCAGCCTCATGTCTTTGGATATCAAGTATATTTCTTTTTTTCCCCATAGCTTGGTAAAAAGAATCCATGATAATAATTCACCCTTCTGAGAGGCCTTCTTTCCATAACACTTTTATGATGAGATTGTTAAAATCATTAAAGGAATAGTAATATACATTAGTGTCTAACCAAACACAAAGTAGAAATGAAAAGAAAATGCTTTAAAAATTTTAAGTATTCTTTGATCAGCAACTATAATGAGAAAATAAAGAGGCTTAATACAGAAAAAAGGCCAAATTTATTCTTGTTAACATAATGTGGTAGTGAGTTAAAAGAGATCTTAGCAATTACCTGATCCAAACCACTCATTTATCAACCAAAAGCCAGAGAGGTTAAATGTAATTTTGCACTAACCTGTAAATTCAAAATTGTGGACGAAAAAAATATAAGCTATTACTAACATTATGATTTATGACACATGAAAGGAATTTTGAAAAACATTACCTGCATATCAATAAAGAGATGAATTATATTTCTCAGGTGGGAATGAGAGGGCAATACATTTTACCAAGTTAGGGCAACGTCTTGTGTTTTATTATTCAGTTGTAGGGTGCCCAAAGAATACTCTCAGTCTGCTTTGGTTTGACTTCCTCAGCCTAAGTTCCGTCATACCTTTGATGCTGTTGGCATCTTGGCTGAATGTGATCCCAGTTATGTATCTATTAAGGATCTAGAAGATGCAAATGCCAGCCAGCTACTTTAATTCCAGAAAGAATTACTTTCCAACACCACAAGAAAAAAGTGGCAGTGTTGTTTTAATATGCCAGTCACCAACATGATAGGATCTTGAGGAACTTATAGGATAATTTTGACTCAGCCATTTTCACTTTGTGTGCTAACTTTAGAACCTAATCTCAGTCTAAGATGTATTCCAAAGCATGTAATGATACAGATTGTTAGCATGAGACGATCTGCAGTTCACACACAAGAAGCAGAACATGTTTAATCTTGAGAGAGGAAAACTAATAAGCTACATGAGCTAACTGTTTCATAAGTAATAGAATGATCATCATCTACCTGTTATAGAACATTGCCTTGGGGAGTGGCAAACAGGATTGTACAGTGAAAGATGCTAGCAGTGTTCTCTGGGTTGCCTAGCAATGAGCTACCTGGGAGAGGGGTCCCCTCTTCCAGCAGGAGAGACAGCACTTCTGACACAGCTCACATCCAGCTCCAAAGCTTGTCTGCAACTCTCTTAAGCTACAATTCCCCAAGTTCAGACTGTCCTCCCTGTCTTCACAAGGCTATTCTCAAGTTCTCATGGTCCTAAAAAAAGATGGAGTAGAAGGAGGGAGCATGGTCATTCTTTGGCAGCAGAGAGCGTGCTGTCTCCATCTGTGACCATTTCTGCCCTTTCTTCCTGGGATCTTGAGGGTTTGGGGTCTGCGTACCTCACACTGTTACCCTCTGCCTGGAAGTTTCCCTGCTTCTGTGCTACCCAGTGTGCTACTGTGCTGTTTGGCTATGCTTAGCCAGCCTCTTGAGAAGTGCCTCAACAAGGGCCTGATGTGTCAGATTCATAAAAAATGCTTGAAGACAAACACGAAACCCCCAAAATGTGTTTATGTTGCAGTTATCTTTATTTACAAATATATTCTCAAAGAAATGTTGATATTAGAGGAACAGTTCCTTTGCTTTTTATTACTGGCTTTAGGACAAAGAAAAAAATGTATTAGAGTTATAAAAATTGCTTGTAAAAATATTTATATACTAACTCTGATGTCAAGGTGAATAATCCATTGTTATTTGTAAAAGTCCATCTGCAATTAAACCAGTTTAAACTTCTGGGTACCTAAAACATTGTCTATTTGGAACCAGAAGATTTGGTAAGTAAGGTGGTTGATAAGATGTAAGAGTTGCTAATAAAAGTGTATTTAATTACAGAGTCAAGTTTTCACTCCATCAGTTGGAAAGCCATTTAGGGGTCAGGGAGTGTGACTGGGATAGAAAGCAAATGTCAATCCTATATGAGCCAGCAATGGTGAAGTGTCTCATAGCAGGAAAAATGACCTCTAACTTCAAAAACAGGGAGATGGAGGGCATCCAGATCTTGCCTGAATGGTAGCAGTGAGGAGACTGGACAGGAGACTTCTTTTCATGTGAAAGGATCAGGGCATAAAAATATTTGAGGGGGTCTGGGCATGGTGGCTCATATCTGTAATCCCAGCATTTTGGGAGGCTGAGGCGGGTGGATCACTTGAGATCAGGAGATTGAGACCAGCCTTGTCAACATGGCGAAACCCCACCTCTACTAAAAATACAAAAATTAGCTGGATGTGGTAGTGTGCACCTGTAATCCCAGCTACTTGAAAGGCTGAGGCACGAGAATCTCTTCAACCTGGGAGGCGGAGGTTGCAGTGAGCCGAGATTACACCACTGCACTCTAGCCTGGGAGACAGAGCGTGACTCTGTCTCACATAAATAAATAAAAATGTCTGAGGGACTCTGTCATGAAAGAGAAAAAGGAAGTCATAAACTTTTTAACTGATTACTAGTTGAACAGAAGTATTAGGAAAGTCAATGAAAAGCCAGTTTAAATTTATGTGAGTGAGTAGTACGGAGGGTGAAGGAGGTAAGTTCAACTATGAACTACCAAAAAAATTAACGTAGTATAAAGAGAATGTGTGTGGAGCTAGGAGACCCCCTGACTTACTCCTGGTATCTTAGGGACTCATGTTTCATGAGGCCTGACGACTGGTTTTATCCAGGGTGGAAGAAATGATGCCCCAAATTATGAAATCAGCCTGGGTCAGCTAGAAGGACATAAAACATTAAACCAGTCATAAGTTAATAAAAAAACATTAAACCAGCCATAAGTTAATTAATAAAAAAGCTGGTTCTAGTTCAGTTAGAGGTAGGACCCTTAACATTTGTTTTGATATCCATGTTCCTTTTGTTCAACTATAAAGTGGAGTTTACTGATTTATGCTTGCTGAATAGAGGGAAGTATGTTGTAAAGTATAAAAACCGAATGAACTTATTAACATAAAACATGGTGACTCTATTGAGAGGCTGTTTTTTTGTTCTAAATGGCATCAGCACAGCTTCAACCTTATCAGCCATATTCACTTAGAAAACTCAGTTAACTCCTTAGAGACTTGATCTTCTCTTTTGTACATGTTGTTACTGTCAGCTGGGATGAGGGATGTAAAGCACATTAAAATAAAGTTAAAGTAAAAAAGTTAAAATAAGGCCTTACACATTAGTATTTCTACTATTATAACAAATGCCCATGTGTGTAAGATGATACAGAGTCTAGATAATTATGACAATATAACCTCCTTATGAATGACTGAAGGCTCAACCCCTTTGGAAGCCACTCTCTGCAATCCTTGCTCCATCAATTTCAAAAGGCTATGGAATTGTTAAGAATTCTGAAGAAGCACTGTTTTTACTCAGGGTGGCACACTCTGGCTAGGAGATTATATGTTTCTTTCCCAATCAAAGTTTCTCTTAGAGTTGTTCACTTTTTGAAGTCTACTGTAATCATGACAGTGTTGGAAAAGCAAGTAATGCCAAAAGGAGAGGCTTCATACACATCATTGGTATACACAAGATTAACAATTACTAACATTTATTCAACACTTACTAAATGTACTACGTGAAGCACTAAATACCAACTGTGGAACAATACTGCTTGAGTTCACATTCTGGCTTTATTATATAGTACTTATAAAGATATCTATAGATCAGTTTCCTTACTATAAAATAAGGATAATAATACAGACTTTCTAGAGTTTCTGGGAAGATTAAATCAGCTAGTACATGTAAATCACTTAGATTAACACTTGGCATGTACTAAGTGCACAATAAGTGTTCCTCCCCTCACCTCCTCTTCCTCATTTCTTTCTCTTCTTTTTCCTCTTCCTCCTCCTCCTTCTCTTTAACCCACCTACCCAAGATCTCACAGCTGGGGAGCTACAGGGCTAGCATACCGTGCAACTCTGCAGCCCATACTTTTGGCCATTAAGTGATACTAATTAATATGTCCAAATGCTGTTTATAAGATTTAGAGCTTCCTTAGTGAGATTAAAAAAGGATACTATTTTATGTTTATTTGTAATTGGAAATGTTTTACATGTGTACTGACTTTTTATAAACTTTAAAGTTAGGAACTTTTTTCTTAGAAAATTTAGAAAGCTACTCCAAGGCATGAAGCATTATTAACATAAGATACTAAGTTCAAGTCCTCTCTAACCACGTTCCAAATTGCTACATCATGATGGATACTTACCACTAACCAGGAAATGAATGCAATTTTCCATTTATATTAAATATTACATTGAAAATACTATGCAGTTTTTTCCTACTTTCTGGAATTGCATACAAGTAATGTTTTATAGTAGCAGATGTGTGGCATCACATGAAAAACTTGTGAAACCTTTACATGAAAATCACATCTGCTAGTCTCCACTATCATTTTAACTACAGTTACATGGTTTGCTTTTCTGTCTGTGCCAGAGAAGAC